CAGGAATATTTTGTCATGCTCTGATCACTTTTCAGAAACAAGCCCATAAAAAGTAAATACGTGATTTAAGATTTCCCTCCCACTTTCTGATTCCAGGTATGTGCCTAACTCTAAGGAGCTATTTCTACTCAGTCTCACTGGGTTTTCTCCAGCGCACCTCAAATCTCATCAAAGTTTGGTTTGTGAGCGCAGCAGAACCCAGAGACATCCCTCCCCCTTCAAAAGCAACCCAGAGGCTTTTTTACTCCTCGGTTCTTTCTCAGGTTCTGTGCTCACCTCTGCTCCCATCACACTTTTTCCCTGCATACAATATGGCCAAATTTCACAGCTCAGAAAACACAGAGGAGAGTACTTGAAAAATCCTATTCATTCCTTTTCTATGGCGGGGATTTTCAAAGCCTCTCAGATTTGGACCGTTTCATTGGGAACCTTTTCCACTGCTGCTTTTCTGGGCAAGAGAAATGCCACTATCAAGGATGTTCAAAGTCTACATTTTCTCCTTTGCAAAACCTGCACATTATACTGATACCTTCAGTACAAAAGCAGCACAAATACAGTACTGTGACTAATTTTTTAAAAAAATCAACCAAATGTGATTAAGAGACAAATAACACATAATTTGGTCTTAATTAGAACACAAACCAGCATCCCTTTGCACTGATGGTAAACCTTAGCAATAGGCTTTAAAAAAGCACAAGGAAATAAGACCTAAACTTTTGATACTTAAATTCACATTAGTCATTTCCATCTGCTGATTTTCACCCTTTTGTGTGTTTGACAAAACTGAAACACAACCACTGCATTACACTTTTTCCCTGTTATTTAAGAAAACTCCTAGAGTTTCTCATTAAATATAAAAATTGGTTTTCTTCCACCACCAAAATAGTACCTGCACTCCAAAAATGCAATGCAATACTGGATTCATATAATATAAAATATCACTGTAAAAGTGACCTTCGATAACAAAACCTTTAGCTTGTGGAACTTCCTGCATGAAGGCCACAGTCTTCCAAAAATGCTTTTAAATACTTCTCTTTAATAGCCAAAGCTCATGTTTGTTATTTCACAGAAGGTAAACACAAGCAGAGCATTGGCAGCATATAAAATATACAAATCCTCATTAAAGACGTGGTATTGTTGACCATTGAAGGTTTACTTCACACAGCTGAGTAACATTAAAATATAATTTACTAGAGCTCCCACATATTGATATAAAAACTACTTTATGCACTTAAGTAAAGGGCTGGCGTGTAGTAAATGGACAAAATGAGAGATCCTTTATACATGCGTTTCAATGTAAGAGTGAGTGTGAGCTAAGGAGGCTATAAGTGCATCAACCTCAGACGAGCCATTGACAGAGTCCCTCGGGGTGCTGCTTTGATAGATGTCCATGAAGAGATCAACGTACATTTGTTTCCATTCTTGAAAGTCTCTAGACGTCAAAGCTGGATTATCTAGAACTTTATCTATAATGGCTACTTCTCCTTCCCTGGCCTGTGAGGGAAAAGGAACAAGCAAAGAGTCAATGCAAGTGATGAGTCACTGGCAAAATCAATCACATGGGTGGAAGGAGAGAACAGGGGGAGCAAACTCAAGCCGCGAAGCCCCTGAAAGCAGGGGGACTACCACCTGACTGCTATATGACCTCTCATGAACAGGAGCCCTTCCTACAGGGCATCACACATCACCCTGCGGGGCTAGGGCTTCCCTCGCCTTGTCCAGCATCCTCAGAAATAGTCCCTATTCCCCCTCCTCGCCCCTTGTTCAGCTCAAGAAAAAGCAAGCCCGGTACTGTTTACTATTAGCTGCTTGCATTTCTCAAGATGGGTTTCACACGATGAAGTGCCATCTGTTTGCTCTTCTCGATCAGCATGAGAAATACTGCGTGGGTGCGTGGGATGCAGACAGATGGCCTCTCACCCGCCAGCAGAGCTAAGCCTTTTTTACCAGGCTTGTCATGGGGACATCTGAGCGCTACATTGCAAAGGCTTGTGCAAGGATCCCCGTGTTAATGATAACTCATCTTCATTACAGATCCAATGTATGCGATGGGCTGGCTGGCTGCAACCTCCGCCTACCACTGCGGTGGCAAAGAGAAGGCAGAAATGGGTAAAATCTAACATAGCTGCTGGTATCTCCTTACCCATCATCGAGGCAGGGGATGTGGCTGTGTCCTAATCACTGGCCAGTGATTAATTTATCAAGAGACAGGCAGCTGGTATGGGTCAGAGTAAGCCTCTGATAAACCCGTGGCCACTCGCGGTTGTTGCAAGTGGTGGAAGCTGTATGCAAGAGACTTAAGCCTTGGAAACACAGCTAACACGCAGGCTTCCAGTACTGCTCCTCTACGTAGGTATCGTATGGTCACCAGCAACCTCCCCTCTATCGTCCCTGCCGGACGGGTTTCATGCTCCTCATTGCAAACTCACATTTACCATG